ATAATCTTTTGGCACATTTGCCTATGCGCTGCAGCACGTGCGGACGTGAGGCAAGATTTGCTAATATCACCATTGTAGGCAGAAGCAAGGAGGTGATTGAGTGAGAGACCCTAGAAGCACACCTCATCAGGAAAAACAAATATTTCTGCATTAGCGATACTTCGGTGACACTGCATACTGCCGAATTAAATTTTTTTTTATGGGTTTTTGAACTAGCACATGCACGGAGTGTGCCCGATTGTGCGATGTGATGTATGGTATGTTATTGTGCATATGTGACATGGTGGATACAGTGAAAGCTCGTTAATTCGAACTTCAATATTTCGAATTTATGGATAATTCGAACTGTAAGTTATGGTCCGGCCAAGCTCCATACAAGCCTATGAATTAAAAAGTCCGTTCATTTGAACGCGAGAAGGTTCCGCCGCGGATCATTCGAACTACACGCCACTGCGCCAGCGGCTTGGCTAGTCACTCGATAGGGCGCCTGCCGAGTTACGAGGCGGCGTGGAGAGGGAGCGGAGAGAAAAGCTGAGAAACTGGCACGGAGGCCAGAGTGCAGAAAATAGCGCCACTTACTCTTCACGCCCCTCCCCGCACAATCTCTCTCTCTCGGCGGCTGCCTGCTCTCTGTCCTATGTAACCTCCAAGATTTGTTTTTCTTTTTTTAAGCGACAATCTCCGAGCCTTTGAAAATCCTGCATAGTTGCCGCTTTTAGACGACAGATGGTATGACTAGCACATGGGCGCGTCGTAGCTTCGCCCAGCCTTCTCTGCAGTCTCAGTCTCGGGCGTACGTCGCACACCTCAGTAGTTGGTGCTGGGAGTAGCTTCAGACTGTCGCGATTCTTTGTGTTGGTGTTAGGCTTCGGCTAACGTTTGTAGCAGTAGTGCCGGTAGTAGCTTCACGTCTGTCGCGATTCTGCTTCTCCGACTTGATGGCGTGTGCCCGCAGCAAATGCCGTGCCAAAACACTTCAGGAGAAAGCTGATATCCTGCGAGAAGTGGACGCCAGGCTCATGCCTAAGCAGGACATCGCGAAAAAGCATGGGATGCCGAAAACTATGCTATCTACTTATATAAAAAATAGGAGGGCTATTGAAGATGCCTTAGAGGCAGAAGTTGCGAGCAAAAGGAGGAGGTTGCTGTCCGCAAAGTATCCTGATCTCGAGAAAGCGCTTCTCATTTGGATAAAGGAAATGCGTTCGCAGGACATACTACCGTAATTACTCGAATCTAACGCGCACCTTTTTTCCGGTTAAGCGAGTTCATAAATCGCATGCGCGTTAGAATCGAGTACGAACAAAAAAATACGGTCAATCTATTGCCATCGGCAAATCTAAAATGGCCGCCCCCTACGTGCGTCGGCATGGCGCGTCAGCCATTTCTGCCTATGTGTTTCCCATGTGCGGCACTTCGTACGTGTGCTGAGGAGTTCGTCATCTAGTAGTGCATTAGCATCGACGGCGTGGAAGGGCCGACTCCAAAAACTTGAGTGCACCACGATGCCGCTTTTAAAAGAAAAGTCATAGCGTGTGCAGAAACGGACGGAAATCTGGCCGCATCGCGGTCGTTCGGAGTTCCCGAAACGTGCATGCGGGATCGGCGTAAACAAACGCAGAAGATTGTCGACGGCAAAGCTTCACGCAAAGGCTTCAGTGGACCACAGCAGGGTCGGTTTCCGCAAATTAAAGAGCTGCTCGGCGAGTATGTGCTTGAGCAGCGAGCGGCACAGCGGCCCGTGACGACAGAACTGCTCCAAGTGCGGGCTATGCAATCAGTCTTAGAAAAAGGTCTAATGCGGAGCCAGTTTAAAGCGAGCAGGTGCTGGCTAACTACCTTCATGAAGAGGAAAGGCTTTTCCCTCCGAAGGCGAACATGCATATGCGAAAAGTTTTGCGGAGGAGTTTGATGAAAAGCTTCTCAGTTTTCGAACGTTCGTCCTAAACTTGCAGCGCAACAACAGCAGATTTTTTTCCTGCGTGGGCAAATCGGGAATGCCGATCAGACGCCTCTTTACTTCGACATGCCTGGCACCACAACCGTCGAGAAGAAGGGGGCGAAGCAAGTTCGCGTGCTGACATCGGTCCACGGTAAAACTACAGTGACGGCAATGCTCTGTTACACGTCAGATGGGCACAAGCTTCGCCCGTACCTCATATTTAAATGGAAGACGCTCCCGAAAGGAGTAGTTTTTTTCGAGTGGTGTGATCGTGCGGGCGGGCGAGAAAAATGGGTGCGCGTTGCAATCGATGTCTTACGTTTTTTTTTGTTTTTTTTTTTCGCGGTGGAAATCGGGTGCGCGTTACAATCGAGGGCGCGATAGAATCGAGTAAATACGGTACTGAGTGGCCTAGTCATACTGGCAAAGGCAGCGCACTTCGCCCTGCAGCTAGACTACGACGACTTCGCTGCTTCAGATGGGCGGTTGCACCGTTTTCGCTAGCGCTACGACCTTGCTTTCCGTGCTGCGTCGGGTGAAATGAACGCCGTCAACATGGAAACGTGTGAAAGTTGGTGCTCCGAAGTGCTTCAAGGCTACATGGAGTATTCTCCACAGGACATATTTAATGCCGATGAAACTGCCTTATTTTTCGAATTGCTGTCCGCCAAAACTATCAGGTATAAAGGCGACAAGTGTACGGGAGGGAAGAAAAGTAAAGAACGGATAACTGTGATGGTTGCTGCGAACATGACCGGGACCGAGAAATTGCTTCTGTTTGTGATAGCCAAATCGAGAAGTCCTCGTTGCTTCAAGAACATCCGGTCCCTCCCATCAGACTACACGGGCAACAAAAAGGCCTGGATGACGGCGGCATAGTTCGCGCAGTGGCTAGGAGAGCTTGACAACAAGTTCGAACGCTGTGGCCGCAAAGTCCTGCTTCTTGAGGACAACTGTTCAGCTCATAAAATCAACGTTGAGACGAAAGCCATTGAGCTGGCCTTCCTTCCAGCAAACACGACAGCGGTACTGCAGCACATGGACCAGAGTATAATTAGAAATTTAAAATCATTTTATCGGCCTCGTATGTTGAAACGAATTATTTCATGCAATAACTACCAAGTGGCGCTCCTAAGTGCACTACACATGCTTGTGCGTGCTTGGGAGCAAATGACAGCGCTTACGATAGCAAATTGCTTTCGCCACTGTGGCTTCAACGCTGAAGCTCTAGTACAAGCTGACGAGCCACCAGTGCTTGAACACGGCGTCACCGCCCCCATGGCGGACGTTTTGGAAGACGCCTCCTTTGCAGACTACGTCGATGTGGACTCAAGTGCAGTGGTGTGTGGTGCACTTACGGATGGCGACATAATATGTCAGGTGAGAAGTGCAGAATCTGTCGCTGCCAGTGACGATGATGAGGAGGAGGACGAAGCACCGATGCAGCCCTCTGCTGCGGAAGTCGTGGCCGGATTGAATGTTGCCCGTCTTTTCTTAAGTTTTGAAGAAGGCGGAGAAGAGGCCTTCCACCAAACTCGCTCGTTAGAGCAAAAAGTGCTGGCTGTCGCCTTCAAAGAAAGAAGGCAGACCGCGATCACAGATTGTTTCAAAAAATAAATTGTTATGCCCTACTCGCAGTGTACTATTGTTGTTCTTCACTTTCGTTAGTTCGAACTTTCATTAATTCGAACTGAGGCGGTTTCCCCTAACGGTTCGAATTAATGAGCTCTTACTGTATATTGAGGTGGTTTTGCAAGAACAAAGTTTGCTGCGAGTTGACGCCCTGTTCTTCCTCAGTGGTTCCCGGCGTCTAATTTTTCTTGTACCAAGCACCAAATAGCCTGACAACAAATTTTAAATGCATGGTGATCTTCATTACGATAGAGTAACCAATAGCAAACGTTTTCAAGACTCTCATCCCTCCTCAACGTACGATGCCCTTTAACAGTCATATGCTTCAGAGAACACATCTGAATCGTACATAATCATACATAATTTTTGTATTAGCAAGCTTTTACTGAAGCCACACAGGATTGATTTTGCTTCAAGCCTCCTTGAGAAAACGCATAATGAACCCTCCAATTTCTTTGCTGTATGACTGGCCGTATTTCTTTGAGAGATTTGTGGCCATGCTTGGACAATAGGTCAAAAATTAAGAGCTTCCTGGATGAATTGGGCCTGTTGGCAGGTATAGCCACATGACATTCCCTACTCACGTTCACTCAGTGGTCACATATTCTCTAGTCAACTTCAAACATACTGTTACATGGATGTCACGGCGATGTGACGGCGAATAAAGCAAAACGCAGCCACCCCAGATAGAATCGGGCGATTTCGTGCCCACTCAAAATGCAACAAAAGTGGCAAGCACAGGTGTTGCTAATCTGATCAGCCCTAAGGCATTTACAAAAACAGTGTGGGCATTGGTTATGCGCTTCTCCCTCACCTGAACATTATCAAGATGATCATCATCATCATCCACTTGTCTCTGTACTCATCGTCACCATCATCATCCTCTTCAGGTGTGTGAACGCTCTACTTCTGGCTGCCTGTTTGCTGCCAAGACCTTGGCAGTCGAATTAATGCCATCTCAACGAAGAGGTTATAGCAAAAGATTAACAGTAGCACCATTGTTACAAAATAACCTCTTTTGTTTGCATTGTGCTCGCAATTTCACGAGAAAATTTCACAATTAGCGAGAACGTTCCAAGACATTCATTCAAGGTGCAACCTATGCAGGGCAGTAGTTACACGAGCAAGGGGATGGTTAGATATACAGTTTGATAAGAGGCTTGCTCCGACCAGCAATTCTTGTCTTTCATATGAGATTTATAGGCAGGGTACCTTGTGCGCATTTTCTTATAAACCCGTACTTTACTGTATGCATGCTGGTGTCTCTTAAACTCATTTGTCTCTTATATCAGAGTCTTCTATATAGGGGTTCGACTGTCAATGTAAGAAAAAGCGACAGTGGCAATATCATACATTAGCAAGAAAAAATTAACTTAAAAAAAAAAGATCCCTAAAATGCAGTAAACTTAAAATGCAGTAAACTTACCGGTCGCTGCTTAGATGTAGAGTCCCTCTTGCGGCTGGGCCCTTGCAGCTCGACGCGCTTCTTGAGCGTCGAATTCCAGTGGTTTTTGATGGCATTGTCAGTCCTGCGAGAAATCAGCCCAGTATAACCTCCTTACAAGAGACTTCCAAGGTGAAAAGGATTTAGGTCTGTTGTAAAAGGAGTATATAAAATGCAAGTACTACTGCAGCAAACTTTTATGTAAACACTGAATGGGTCGGTTACAACCGGAGAGAATCAGAACATATAGATTCTTAATGGGTACATAAATCAATTCGTTGTTTTAAAACCATATTCTCAGATTCTGTAGCCATTTTTCTACCTAATTCCCAAATATATACACAAAAAGCTATGTTGAAGTGCTGCAAAAAAGTTTTTGTACCTGCTAAAGTGCAAAAACTATGGTGGAACTCACAAAAAAAGGCATTTTTCAATAAATTGCAGCTCTGCAACAGCGAAACAGGGTGCCACTTTTTTAAGCTCATTGCACAAGTATTTGATAAAGAGCATTCCGTGCTCAAATTGCCCATTTAAAAGCTGCCTCCTCAATTTAAGTGCAAGGGTACAAAACTGAATAGAATCGTCTGCTGCTTGTGCACCGCAAGGTCACAGATGTCTAAAATTGCGCTGCTTGGTGACATTTTCACACTCATTTTGTGAAACAGCATGCACCACAACCATGCATTTCGCAACCAAGCTTTCTGCTCGAAGTCGTGGCTAGGCGTAACTCCGCTCCGAACTTTGCGGGCAAGACCATCATACTAGCACACCCAACAATGAAGAAGCCGTAACGTGCTTTGTCAAAATCAACAACTTTTATCGATAGCTAGCTTCTCAGAACCGTGGATGCACATTTTGCACATTAGCGACAGGAGCAGCAGTGGCAGCAGCTAGCTATTTTCTACGTCATTGTCCTAAAATGCAAGACCAAGCCTGCTGTTTGCTGATTTTTTTCACGCATTAGCTAGGCAAAACTGATCATTTGCAGACCAGAAATTGGCGGCCTTCATTCTTAAATTGGTACTTTGGTATCCACGGCACTCTGTTTCAATTTCTAAAGTATGCTAAGCAATATTTGAAGTCAGAAGTTGTTATTGATGTTGGGATTGTATACGGTAGAAAAGTCCACTGTAAAAGAGTCCTGACCACCTTGCTGGCCTCACATTTTGTCAGTTGTATCAAAAGGTCTGTTGCACCAGAATACGTAATTAACGAAGCTCAATCCATGGAACAAATGTGGGCATAACAACGTCGTCACATTGCTCTCATTCACTACAACCTCTAGTGTTGTTTAGGCTGTTTCCAAAACACTGATTGATATGCACATCTATCACTACCAAAGCTTTGTTTTTTATCATGTAGTTCTGCCACACTATGCCCTGCGTCATTTCTTCCTAACATGCAGATTGTTTAAAAAGTAATATTAATAATAAAACACTTATGGATGAACCACTCAGAAGGATGGGATTCAAATTGCAACTTTCCGATGGTTCTTTCTTTAAGGCTACAGCACTCGGATTTAGCTACACAAGCATTTGGGGTGCCATATGGCATTTATTACACGAAACGAATTGAATGCTAATTACCCTATTGAAATGTTCCATATGCCGTTCCAATGTAAGCTTGTGGAATTCATATGCTTCTTGTAAGAATCTTACAGAAACACGAAATTTTTGGAATGGCATACAGAACATTTCAGTAATGAAGGTTAACTAAATGAAACTTATTCTTCAACAACATAAGTTTTTTTTTTCCGAAAATTAAGCGAATCAGTTATTTTGAAGACAATCTACTGCTAAACACTTTGAGATTTTAAACACATTCGTTTATATAAAAATGCACCGTCCAATTAATGGCTGATTGCCCATGGTGGGTTGCGCCAGTTTAATAAGGGTCAACCAACCAACGTCTTAGCTTGATCCTACCGAGCAAGCATAGCGCTGCTAGGCAGCTAGTTGGAATACACGACGCAGCTCACTTCACCCCTTAACTGATGGTGCCATCAACTCAGCAAAGCTCTAATTGGCCTCACAGTGTATTTATCGTAACTGCAAAGGGTAGACGTTGAGTTAATAATTATTAAGGTGCATTAAAACGTTTTATCAGCCTTGAGCTGAACTAAAACACCTTTCATACGTTTCTTTTCTCACCAGCTCTAAGGCATCAGGTATGTAATGCAAGACCATTGCACCTGCAAAGGTGGTGTATTCAAGCATGCAGCAGCAGAACGCGATACAGCAGAGAGAGCGGCAACTAAACACTTGTTACGTCGCACAGCTATGATCCACTTATTTCCCTGCCCAATAAAGCAGGGACAAGTCGAAAAATTGTAAAATATAGTTCCCGCAAGACTCGACGTGTACCTGTTGGTACAATCACATACCCAGCAGTTGATGATTCCTATAAACTACGTGCTAGCAAGTGTTGGGAGAGCGTTTGGTTCGGCTCGGGTTCTCGACGACTGTCTGCTCTGACGGCCGCGCAGCGGCGTGCCAGTTGCAATGCACAAAGTGTATACACTGGTTTTTACGGTATTTGTCTATCTCAAATAGGCCCCGCAACACTTCTTCAACACGCTTAGAATTCACTGCAGATCAGTATTCTAGGCTTTTGTAAACAAACATAGCATTTCACGGTGCATGAAATTCGGACTTTCACTTCCCGCAGAATCGAAAATGGCTCTCAGAGACTGCCAATGCCTGATTGAACGATTGCGAACCCATCCTCGATTGTATTGGCCCTTTTGAATTCAATAAACAACAGATATATATACTTTGGAAACACCAAGTAAGCCTTCTTTGTACTCCCTCTCAGAGGATTATTTTGTTGATTACAATTTTCATTTCATGTGGCATGCAGCTTGGTGAAAACCATGCTATTTCAAATTCTACAGGGGTCGCTTGTTTCAAAGAACAATAGAGCTAGTTCCAAATTCAGCTGGCCAGTGCACACTACTACGAAAATCCATTAGTCCACCTAATGCACCAGGTATATCGCAGAGCTGGGACCATAAAACCAAACGTGCTTGTCTGCTACATAATTACCACAGGCATTTTCAAACTTGATTGAATCGATGAACTAACCGTCCAGGCAGAAGCTTGGCGATCTTGGCCCACTGGTTGCCCCAGAGTCGATGATACTCGAGGATGGTGCGCTCTTCATCTTCCGTCCAGGCACTCTTCTTGATTGCCGGATTCAGGTGATTGTGCCACCTGCACCACACACAGCTAGCATTTAAAGGGACTCTGAAAACACTAGTCTCGTCACTGCCATAGGTTTTGGCTCACTTCTGAATTTTCCACTTATGCCTCTTAATGGCATCACAGATTGTAATTAGGCCACACTTGCTCAACGAAATTTACTGAAACTCGATTTTCTCTAGCTCTCTTACAAGCTATTTATCACAGATTAGAAATTATGTATTCACTATCAAATGCCATGGTCAAGGACAAGTTTGCCACTCTCTAGCATAGAAAGTAAGCTTTGAGACAGTCAGTCAGCCAGTTGAGACAGTCAGTCAGTTGCTTTCAACAAAATAGAAAAAAAAGTTCATGCATGAATATGGAATGTCTGCAGACAATTCTATGTTTTCTTGCCAAACAATTAAAAAAATAAATCTGAACAATTTGCAACTGTGGGGCACAAGTTCTAACAATCGGGACGAAAGCCATACACATAGAGGCAAATGATCTAAGAACTAACAAATAGTTCCTATTATTTTCAGTTCAGTTATTTTTTTAGCATTCAAGGGATGATACATATGAGGTGGGATACCAAGTAAAATAATTCCGTGACGATGCCTAGAACATTGCAGGTGATCAGTGATATGATGGCTAATATTGTGTCTAAAGAAAAAGACGAGCCCTCAAGTTTCCTTAACTTTGGGTAAGATACACAGAATACACAGCAACAGCCCTAGTAGTTCCACTACTGCAACTATAGGTTTCAATGTAGGCTATAACAAAATTAAACATTCATTGTTCATTGATCAATTTTATTCAGTACAGCACACCTGGTAGCTTTACATTACCAAGCTCCTTTCCAGTTACTCTCTTAGTGGAATAAGAGGGAGAGTGGCCGTGTTCCCACCCCGCCGACACCATCGATGATGAAAAAGATGGTGGACGAACGTGGCCATCACTTGACCTTGGAAAAGGTCACAACATTTAAAAGCCTGCCCCAGGGCTAGCATTCCGTCAGCATTGACCAGCAAACCATAAGCAGCTTTGCACACACAGGAACGTGATAGTCAAATTAGGCACGTCAATAGATACATCCCTCGCTGTAATTCAATGCAGAGATGCAACAGCCAAAATAGCATTTGGAGCAATTTTCTGAACAAAAAAAGAGATTACCGGCAATGCTGCTGGCTTAGGTTGTTTCGGAACAGGTTTTAAAGCACACAAAATGCGTTTTGGAAGAGAGAAGCAATTTTGAAGGAAAGAAGGGTAAACATAATGGCTCGTTTCCTTTGTTAGAAAAAATAACGAGAACTGGCAGACAATTCTGCCAAGGAAAGTATAGGGGACATTATGTGAAGAATGACGTCACGGTGTTTTGTGCGGGAATTCAAAGGTGGCATCTCCCCCCCATTTTCTTTTCACTCGTTTTCTCGCTTGCCGAGTGTCGTACGTAGTCATCATCATCATCGTCGGCCTCACTAGGTCCCCTGAGTTACTTAGCAATGCAATATCATCGGCGAAGCGCAGGTTACTAAGGTACTCTCCATTAACTCTTATTTTTAACTGTTCCCATTCTAGGCCTCTAAAAACCTCCTGTAAGCACGCGGTAAATAGCACTGGGGAAATTGTATCCCCCTGCCTTACACCTTTCTTGATTGGTATTCTGTTGCTTTCCTTATGAAGCACTATGGTAGCAGTTGATCCCCTTTAGATTTCTTCCAGGATGTTTATATATGCTTCATCGACGCCCTGATTCCGCAGTGTCTGCACAAATGCTAATATTTTACTGAATCAAATACCTTCTCGTAATTTATGAAGGCTATGTATAGTGGTTGGCTGTATTCTGGGCATTTCTCTATTACCTGATTGATAGTATGAATGTGGTCGATTGTTGAGTAGCCTGTTCGAAATCATGCTTGTTCCTTTGGTTGATTGAGTTCTAATGTTTTCTTAATTCTGTTAGCAATTGCCTTTGTAAATAGTTTGTATACTACGAAGAGCAAGCTGACCGACCTGTAATTCTTTAAGTCCTTGTCATCTCTTTTTTTATGTATAAGGATAATGCTAGCATTCTTCCAAGACTCTGGTACTTTTCCCGTCGGGAGACACCTCGTAAACAGGGTGGCTAGTTTTTCTAACACAATCTGTCCTCCATCTTTCAGCAGATCTGATGTTATCTGATCCTCACCAGCAGCTATGCCTCTTTGCATGCTCTCCAAGGCTTTTCTGACTTCTTTTATCATTACTGGTGGGGTGTCATCTGGGTTACTGCTACTTCTTACAGTATTAAGGTCGTGGTTGTCCTGGCTACTGTACACATCTCTGTAAATTTCCTCCGCTATTTTAACTATCCTATCCATATTGGTAATTATTTTGCCTTCTTTGTCCTTTAGTGCATACATCCGATTTTTCCCTATCCCAAGTTTCCTCTTCACTTCTTTGAAGCTTCCTCCGTTTTTCAGAGCGTGTTCAATTCTCTCCATGTTATACCTTCTTACATCGGATACCTTACGCTTATTAATCAACTTCGAAAGCTATGACAGTTCTGTTTTGTCTGTTGTACTTGAGACTTTCATGCTTTGATGCTTCTTAATGAGATTCTTCGTTTCCTGGGAAAGCTTGCCAGTGTCCTGTCTAACTACCCTGCCTCCAATTTTCACTGCACAGTCCGTAATGATAGACGTCAGATTATCATTCATTGTATATACACTAAGGTTAGTTTCCTCAATAAGTGCCGTGTACCTGTTCTGAAGTGAGACTCTGAATTCCTGTACTTTCCCTCTCAGTGCTAGCTCATTGATTGGCTTCTTGCGTATCAGTTTCTGTCGTTCCTTCTTCAAGTCTAGGCGAATTTGAGACCGTACCATTCTATGGTCACTGCATCGTACCTTTTTAACCACTTCCACATCCTGCACGATGCCTGGGTGTGCACTCATTATAAAGTCTATTTCGTCCTTATTTTCGCCATTAGGACTCCTCCATGTCCACTTACCGCTTCCTCGTTTTTGGTAGAAGGTATTCAAAATCCGTAAATTATTGCGTTCTGCAAATTCTACTAGTAGCTCTCCTCTGACATTTCTAGTACCGATGCCATAATCTCCTACTGCCTGGTCTCCAGCCTACCTTTTCCCTACCTTTGCATTAAAGTCTCCCATCAGTATAGTATACAGTGTTTTTACCTTACTCCGTGCCAATTCCACGTCTTCACAGAAGCTTTCAACTGAAGCGTCATCATGGCTGGATGTAGGCGCGTAAGCCTCTATCACATTTTTGTATCTTTTACTGAGGTTATTTACAATACCTACCACCCTTTCATTAATGCTATAGTATTCCTCTATGTTGCCAGCTATGTTTCTGTGAATTAGGAACCACACTCCCACTTCTCTTCTGTAAGCCAAGCCCCGATAGCAAAGGACGTGCCCATTCTGTAGCACCGCATAGGCCTCATTTAACACCCTCTAGCTCTTCGAATAGGACAGCTAGACTTGCCTCACTAGATAAGGTTCTAGCATTAAACGTTGCCAAGTTCAGGTTCCAATGGCGGCCTGTCCGGATCCAGAGATTCTTAGCACCCTCTGCTGCGTTGCTCTGCCCCCCGCCGTGGTCAGTTGCTTCGCAGCTGCTGGGGACTGAGGGCCCTGCCCTGAGTTAATTGATGTATGCATGTGGGAAGTAGTGGCCAGATACTGCACCAGGGTGACCAATCCTTCTCTGGTGAGAACCCCACCCCCCTATTAGCTCGGGTCCGTGGTGTCGCTACACGCCAAACGCCTGCTTACGCAGACGCCCCTGCGGGTTCGTACATAGTAAAAGTGGTGTTTTCGGGATTCTGGAATTGTACTTAACTAATTCACGAAAAATTGTACAGCTCTTTTGAGTATCTTAAGTTCATTGACCCCACACTCTTTAAACTGCCACGTAAGACCATTAGATACTGTGTAAGTTGTTTTGGATCTTTTGGACAGTTTGAGAGTAAACATTTTTGGATCAGTTAGTGTATTAGTGCAGGTGTAAAGAATGCCCTGAAGCATCATCCCATGCACAAAAAGAGTCGTGTATTTGACGGAATTCCCTGAACTGGTGAATTCCCTGAATTGGAATTCCCTGAACTGGTGAATTCCAAATTTGGCTGGGATGACTTTGGTCGCTGCCGCACACGAGAAGAGCTTTGAACACATCTAGTCGCCGTCTCAATGTGCACCCAGCAATGCGCATGCCAGCCACATAAATATATGCAAATACAGACAAGTGCCTATGTCTTGGAAGCCAAACTTTTTAGCCATGCTTAAAAATTTAAATGCTTTTCTGATCTGAAATAGCATTACTTAAAGCCCCCCCCCCCCCGTCTACAATTTCACGGGCTTGAATCAGGGCTTTGTTGACACCATAACAATGTCTGAAAATCAGCTTTCCTGCAACACTTTCGTGGTATGGGGAGACGAAGACCAAAAACCACTATCACAGCGCACTGCAGCTACGTCTTTACTGATAAGCACCAGAGTCGCACAGAGGCGGGATGGCAGCACTGCAGGAAGCGTGCCACTATGACTTGATAGCTATTATCCTTTTCCACTATGACTTGATAGCTATTATCCTTTTTATGATAACCATCTTCAGTTAACTGTGCACTAGTGCATTTATGCCTGTCCATCAGGAAAATAGTGGGCACCAAGAACACTTTTATGACAAAATCAAAAAACAAAACCGACTGGCCTGCACGGAGTGTGCAGCACAGTCACAGTGAAAGCTAAAGGAGTGGCCTTTCATGGCCTTTTCTAAACATTCATTGGGTAACTGCTACAAGCACACTTGCTAGATGCGGGCGAAGATTTTGCATCGTTAACAGGCCCACAAGACGGGAGGTCTGAAAAATTTGAACGAGTCGTCTGCTTTTCTGTCTTTGTTTGCCAAGTCTTGGTTTCCAAACGCTCCAAGCACAACAGCCATATTTTAATCCGCACTTTGCTGTTATCAGCAACGCTCATTACAAGATGTAGATTTGTGACAGGTTTATGGCAAGTCCCGAATTC